GATGGATGGATGTAAGAGAGATGGTTTAAACAGTAATGGTACCGTTTAACGTTGCTACGAGCTAAGCTAGGGGATGTGTATTTACAAAAAAGCTCAAGGAGCTTTTATCAGGTCAGAAGCAAGAAGCAGAAGGAGGAGGACACAAGACAGCAAAGCGCATCAGCCTCCTGAACAATGTGGAGGGTAAAGATGACTCTCCTGCTTCTCCTGATGAGGAACGCTCCTCATTATTTGACAAAACACAAAACGACATACGCAAAATGAATGAACCACTCAGAGACATTTGTGAACTGGATTTGGAAACTGAAGACTTGGATGCTGTCCTCAGGGTCCGATGGCCTCACATCTGAATTTTACAAGTTTTTCTGTAAGGATCTCAGGAATCTGCTGTTCAGGACTATTTTAGAATGCATTTAGAATAAAAATAAATCTGAATTTCTCCCGTCTGTGAAACAAGGTGTAGGAGTGCTCATCCCTGAACATGAGAAAGACCAGCGACTGCCTGACCGCCTGCGTCCTGGTCGTCTTAATACTGATAATAGACGTTCTGTGGAGCTGTTGTATTCCAGCCTCTTCCCTCAGCAAAGCAACCCGGTTAATAAACGCCATGAACTTAACTTTTGTTTGGAAAAGCAGGCGTCGCTACAGTCTGGAGACAGACACTGATGCAGCGCGGAGGTCTGAAGGCCTCTGATGTCTGCCGAGAAACTGAAAGGCTCCACTCCTACCAAACACTGGTTTGTCATCACTGATGCAGTCCTCCATCCACTCGACTGATCTGCTGCTGGGATGATGATTGAACTCCCAGTTAAACTCCGACTGTCACCAGCAGGTGTTGTTGTTCTGGACCTGAAGCAGATATATTTATTAAATAGAAAGTGGTTGTTTTTGAGAACTTGGATGGAGAAGGGATGTAGCTCAGCTCATGGATTCATCTGGAGACTCTTTGGATCACAGTGACTTCTGCCAGAGATTCAACATCATCTGCTCAATAAAGGACTTCAGTGAAGTTCTGAGATCCATCCCAGCTCCCATCAGAACAACGCCGGATCACCATGTGATCCATTCTGATCGTGTTTGGAGCTGAGGCCAGTCTGTGCTGGTCCCAGTGTTCACAGGAAACACCTCAGTAACACATTTATCAGAAGACATGGACGGCTCTCTACTTCCATGTCCACCTCAAAGAAATGACATTTACTGGGTCATCACGAAGAAGAAGCCCTGAAGATGAGAGAAGGCCTCCTCTCCAACCCCACTGTACCTGAAGACATGAACTCTAACATCTTCAATGGAACACATCCATGTGACCAGTCGACACCAAACACTGAACCGGACCCGTTCGAGCTCACTTTGCTCAGCGTGAACACGTTCAGCACATCAACATCCAAACACCTTCACTGACGGCTCTTCAGTGGGAGACGGACTGTTTCTGGAGCTCCTGATCAATAACTGGTGGTTTGAGCTCAGCAGGACTCACACAGATGCAGATGTGCAGTGAAGCCCAGATGCAGGGACGACCGATGACACGAGGCTTCAGCACCGGTCACTGAAGCACACATGATTTATTGATGAGTGTGAGTCAGCATCAGAAAGGCCCTCCCGCCTCTTGTTGTGTTGCTGTTGTGGTTTTCTGTTTGTTCATCCGGTTCATGCTGCCTCCAGCCTGGTCCGGTTCAGTCCAGACCATGCCTGATCAGACTGCTGTAGTAACTCTGAAGTGGTTCTGATTGTGTTTGTTATCGTTTCTAAATGAATAAACACAGCTGATAGTGAGCATGTCGCTGCCCCGCCTGCAGGGGGCAGCGCCGAGCCCCGCCTGCAGGCCGCGCTGGTGCAGAAGAAGAGGCAGGTGGATGTTTTGCTGCAGGTCAAACCGGCCAGGACGATCGTTCCTCCGTTAATCGTTCCTCCGGACTTCACCGGACCGCTCTGTGCGCATTTTGATGCCCGCCTCTGACGTCCGTTAGCCGGATCTCAGTCACGGTCCTTCCGGCCTCTGTCCTCTCACCGACCCTCTGATGGCTTCCAGGCGGCCGGACAGCTTCGACGGGCTCGGCTACCGTGGCCGCGACGACCCGCTGTACGGAGCCAGCTACCCGGTTCGGAGCGCCGGAGCCCCCGCTGAGCTGCAGCACCACCACTGGGTCACGACGCCGCCGGACATCCCTGGCAGCCGTAACCTGCACCCTGGAGAGCGGACACCGTTGCACGACGAGCCGCTGGGAGAGCCCGGAGGTCCCGTGCCTGGCTGGGACGCTCCGCAGCCCGGACTCCCGCCAGCTGGTAGGTCGGTGTGTGGGCGCGGAGGTGTTAGCTCACAGGCTAGCGGTAGAATGGAAGCCAACGGGACAGGCTAGCGGTCTGAAAGCTACAGTCATATGAAGACATACCAGAGTTAGCTGACAGGCTAACATGACACCCAGCAAGGCAGAAGGGAAACGAAGGCAGCAGGCTAGCTGTTAGCTCACAGGCTAGCTGTGAGCTTACAGGCTAGTCACAGTTCACAACAGTAAAAACTTATCAGACAGAGAACACACGTCATAACTTGTATGAATGAGGCTAAGTGCTAGTTAGCTATAGGAGCGCGTGCAGCAGGCTAGCTAATTAGCAGGCTCATTAGCATAATCTTGTTGTTGTTGTAAAGATCGTTCCAGCTAACGAAGCTAACAGTTAGCCAGTCAGCTAATGAGCCCAGGTATGATTTGAGGTTTGTTGCCGTTAAGCTACTTTCTGACTTTTGTGTTTCAGTGGATCCGCTCTGTCACAGTCTCCGTCTGATTGGTTCTATTGATCAGTTGACGACTTAAAGCAGTTTCCAGCTTTATTGATCACTGATGAATCGGTTTGAGGAGTTGCTGAATGATCACCTGGTTTTGCTCCTTCTGTCACTGAACGGAACATCTGTGGACCCAACACTCTGATCCACGTGTTTCTCCATCAGCTGATATTTTAGAGACAAACAGCTGATCGATTGATCCAGAGATCGATCGACAATGAAAATAATCATTAATTGAAGCTCTAAACGTGCCTGATGTTGTTGTTGTTTGTTGTTGCAGAGCAGCTGAACCGCTTTGCTGGCTTTGGAATCGGACTGGTCAGGTAGGAAACACCTGCAGCTCAGATCAATCAGATCAATCAGATCAATCAGACACATGACCTCTGGAGCTGAGTTACAGCCAACTGACTGTGTGTGTGTGTGTGTGTGTGTGTGTGTGTGTGTGTGTGTGTGTGTGTGTGTGTGTGTGTGTGCTCGCGCGCGCGCGTCAGTCTGTTCACAGAGAACGTCCTCTCTCATCCCTGCATCGTGTTCCGCAGACAGTGTCAGGTATCAGCCGCTCCTCACCTGTACCTGATCAATACCGCTGATTGACTCCTGATTGGTTCTTTATGAACAAACAGATGGAAACTAAAAGAAGAGTTTATGTTGAAGAAAACCAAGTCTGAACCTGTGGCAGCTATTGATAACC